GAAGAACACGTCAACGACTTGCTATAGAAGTTCATGCTCTGCAGCTACAACGGCAGGATCGTTTCCAACAAAGCCGACCACGCCCTTTTCGAGCTGCAGGGGGCATCAATTACTACGAAATCGCTTTGCAGAAAACAAAACCCAGGAAGACGGAGGTGAGGCAGCTGAATGATGGCACACTTATCATTTGTGGTGAAAAGGTTCTAGGAAGTTGAAGACGTTGGATTTGTGGTACACCCATCTGTTATTCATCTTGGACCTCGCCTAGCTATCCTTCGATTCCGTCCTCTGCATCAGAAAACATCACTATCATCAACTCCTATTCTTCCTAAGCAGTAATGACTCGGAACTTGATTCTTATAATGAGAGTTTGGAGAACAAGTTATTCGCAAAGAAAATTCCTTCTATAGATTCGTTGTAGGTGACCTGAATGCGAAAATCAACTGACGACTCATGCCGAGATCGACCACATCCTTACCCAACGAATATGGTGATGGACGTCGCAAATTGGAGGAGTTTCTGACCACTTGTGACTGGTATTAATAAGGAGGAAACAACGAAGGACTACGACCTGCTTCTCAGAGGACTGAGAGCCTGTGGTGGAAGTGCCTTAATTTTCCAAACAAGGATCTTGCATTGAATTTTTATGGTCGCTAAGGATCTGCTAGAGAGGAGGATAGCGCCGAGGTTGGGCCCAAATGCATCACATCTCGAGCTAGTAGCCAATATCATTGCAGAATAGCTTTGCAAAAAGAGGAGGAAACCATCCAAATTCTACCTGCTGGAGTACGCCCCGCAATCCAGACCATGAAGCAGCTGTGGCTCTAAAACCAGATCACTTTTCAACCGACCTCTTACGAGCTGGAGGACAGCGCTTACACGAGACAATTGCGGCACATCTTGTTTTATCTTTAAAAGGAAAGAATCCCCGACTATTAGAGATCCCCCAAACTATTCATTATAAGAAGGCAATGGGGAGGATCTTCGGAATTAATGTCCATGGCTTCTAGCTGTTCACGAAGATTTTTTCACTTTTATATCAAGGACACCAGATGAGGCCAAGAGCTGGAGTTTGCAAAGGATTCAGCGGCGTGGATTACATCTAAACGCTTTCGAGGATTATCGCGGTTTGCCGAGAGCACCGCCTACCTCTCGTCCTAGCCTTCGTTGACTATGAGAAAGCGTTTGACAGCGTC